GAATCTTTTCCAATAATTTCCCTGCCAGTGACATGAGGCTCATGTGCCTTTATTTCCTGAATTATCCCTGTTATCCTTTATAAACAATGGGACTACATTGGCTATTCTCCAGTCCTCTGGGAGCTCACCTCAGGCCAAAGTGGATACAGAGATGTCTGTCAATGCTCCAGCAATTTCTTCTCTTACCTCCCTCACTATTCTGGGATAGATCCCATCAGGACCCGGGGACTTACCCACTTCAATACTTTTTAAGACGCACAACACCTCTTCCTTTTTAATAGCAACTTGCCTTAGAAACTTGACATTCCCTTCCCTGAGATCATCCTCCACCATTTCCTTCTCTTTGATGAATACCAACACAAAGTATTCAATTAGGACATCACCTACCTCTTCCGGCTCCACACTGGAATTCCCTCCTTTGTCCTTGAGTGGGCCAACCCTTTCCCTCTCTACCCTCTTGTTTTATTATACATGTATAAAAAGCCTTGGGATTCTCACTAATCCTGTTTGCTAATGACTTTTCATGACCTCTTTTAGCCCTTCTAATTCCTTGTTTAAGTCCTTTCCTATTTTCCTTATACACTTCAAGAGCTTCATCAGTTCCCATCCTCCTAGACCTTACGTATGCTTCCTTTTCCTTTTTGACCAAGGCCATAACATCCCTGGTCATCCAAGGTTCATGTAACTTGCCCATTCCTTATCCTTCATTCTCACAAGAATGTGCCGCTCCTGAACTCTTATCAACTGCTGTTTGAAATACTCCCACATGTCCCGATGTATATTTACCCTCAAACAGCCACCTCTAATCAACACTCTCCAGTTCCTACCTAATATTGTTGTAGATCGCCTTCCCCCAGTTTAACATCTTCATCCCGAGGACTGCTGTTACCCCTATCCATGAGTAACTTAAAACTCACGGTATTATGGTCACTACTCCCAAAATGCTCCCCCACTGATGGTGACCTTGCCAGAAATGCCGTCACCCCATGGAGGAATTCTGAAAAATAATTCCTGCTGCATCACATTCTTCTCGTGGCATCAATGAAATATTCCTCAAGTTTGTCCAGAACTGCTTTTCAGAAAGATTTAATGTGAAAAGCAGCGAGCAGTTCCATTAGCCTTTCAGCTAAATTAGCTTCAATGAAATCACGTCCCATCTCTCTCGACCAATGTCTACTCGCAGATTAGCTGAGTGCCTTAGCTGGCTGATGGCTACCATGACACCAACCCAAGCTTCTGTATCAGAGGTTAACTGGGGCATTAAGCAGCAGGAAAATTTGACAGCACCTTTATGGCAATCACTAGAAATACCAGAGGGTTTTATTCTTCTTGATCCTTTAGTTCCCAAAGTGATAAGGAGTTTTACTGCTAGCTGCTGATCTCTGTAATGAAGATTCATTCTTTCCTTGAACAATTGAAATTCTGTCAGAATGTCACTGGAGTGCCAACCCATGTTCAAATGGACTGATGACTATGCACAAGTAAAGATAGTGTACGCAGAACATTTTATTTCTAGTGTTACTGACATGTTACTGTCTGTGGGATCCTGCTGTGTACCAACTAGCTGCTGCATTTCAACACGAGAACAGTGTCTTCATTCTGTGGGAAGTTCATGGGAGTGTCTTGGCCTGGTGAAAAGTGCTATGGAAATGCAAACGTTACTTTTCTCTGCAGCAATTAGGACTCCAGCCCCCATCACCTTTGCATTGGTGGAGTATTGACCATGTCAGTGCCACACAGATACTGACAAGAGATTTTAGACAGGAAGTAAATTATTGAGAGGATTATACAACACTATGTATTAAAGGAGGTGGAGCTGTATATTATGAGAAGTGAGGGTGGATATTATATGCCTGCTCTGTCCCCACTCCTTGTAATTGTCTATGCAGGCGGTTTCATCCGGAATGGGGTGGGAGGTGAGAGTTGGACACGTTTCCAAATGGAACACACCCTGAGAAGGTGCTAAGGGTGTGAGCCTGTCACCCACTGGGGGCCATGCCTGAGGGTGGTGGTTATACAGGGACACAGAGCTGGGAGATGAGCAGACGCTAGTTTCTTTGTGGGTTTACAGGATCAGAGCCTGTCAGGGAGACAGAACATTCCAGAATTGTCCCAGCAGGGGCTGTACCAGAGGCTGGGACTGTTTCTGGAGGTGTCTGTGTGTGTGTTTGTGACCAGAGCAGCTCGTCACATTCAGGACACAATGAGAGAGAGAGCTCCTCATGGGAGGATCAGAAAAACTGGGCAGGACATCACACAAGCTAACACTCTCCATGTGACAGAACCTCAGCGCAGCTCCCACTCGGAGCATCTCTACCTACCCTTACTCCCACAGTCCCACTCCGCAACCCAACATCCCCTACACTGGAACCCATTGAACACAGGAGCGATACACGGGAAAAAAGGGCAGGGAGCAGTGAGGGGGGAGTGAGGGGTTGGGGCAGTGAGGGAGCAGTGAGTGGGGAGTGAGGGGGTGGGCGCTGAGGGAGCAGCGAAGAGGGAGTGAGGGGGTGGGGCGGTGCGGGAGCAGCGAGGAGGGAGTGAGGGGGTGGGCAGTGAGGCAGCAGCAAGGGGGAGTGAGGAGGAGTTGGGGCAGAGAGAAGGGGAGCAGCAAGGAGGGGAAATGAAGGAGGAGCAAGGGGTGGGAGTGCAGGAGTAATAGAACAATAATGAACAACTAAAGCAACAATCTCCCTCTTTAACCAATGATGTTAAAGGATTGAGATAGATAGAGATAGGAATGGAAACAGAGGTGAGTGAAGTTGAGTTAAATTAGGTCCAGAATGAGGATTATACAAAGCTGTCTCCATCAGGGGAGGAAATCTGTCACCCTTACCTGGTCTGGCCTACATGTGACTCCAGACCCACAGCAATGTGGTTGACTTTCAACTGCCCTCAGAAATGGCCTAGCAAGCCATTCAGTTGTACCAATCACTACAAATTCTCAAAGAAATGAAACTGGACGGATGACCTAGCATTGACCTAGGCACCGGAAAAGACAATGACAGAAACAGCCCTGTCGACCCTGCAAAGTCCTCCTCACTAACATCTGGGGGTTAGTGCCAACATTGGGAGAACAACAGCCTGACATAGTCACACTCACAGAATCATACCTTACAGACAACGTCCCAGACACCACCATCACCATCCCTGGATATGTCCTGTACCAACAGCAGGACAGACCCAGCGGAGGGGGCGGCATAGTGGGATGCAGTCCATAAGACCATAAGATACACGAGCAGATTTAGGCCTTTTAGTCCATCAAGTGTACTTTGCCATTCAATCAGGGCTGATATGTTTGTGAACCCTATTCTCCTGCCTTCTCCCCGCAACCCTAAAACCCCTCACTCATCAAGAACCTGTCTTAACCTCACTCAATGACGACCTCCACAGCCCTCAGTGGCAGTGAGGTCCACACAGTCACTACCCTCTGGCTGAAGAAATACCTTCTCATAGAGCCATAGAGTCTACAGCACAAAAACAGACGCTTCAGCCCAAGTCATCCATGCTGACCAGATTTTATAAACTGACCTAGTCCCATTTGCCAGCGTTTGGCCCATATCCCTTTAAACCTTTGCTATCCATGTACCTGTCCAAATGTCTTTTAAATGTTGTAACTGTACCTGACTCCACCACTTCCTCTGGCAGCTCATTCCATACACGTACCACACTCTGTGTGAAAAAGCTACCACTCAAGGCCCCTTTTAAATCTTTCCCCTCTCACCTTAAATCTAAGCCTTTAGTTTTGGACTCCCCTACCCTGGGCAAGAACTTTGGCTATTCACAGTAACTATGCCCCCCGTGATTTTATTAGCCTCTATAAGTTCATCCCTCAGCCCCCTACACTCCAGGGAAAATGTCTCAGTCTATCCAGCCTCTCCTTACAACTCAAACTTTCCGATCTCAGTAAAATCCTTGTAAATCTTTCTGCACCCTTTCAGTTTAATAACGTCCTTCCTATAGCAGGGCAAACAAAATTGTACGCAGTACTCCGAATGTGTCCTTACCAATGTCTCGTACAGCTGTAACATGACGTCCCAAATCCTGTACTCAGTGCTCTGACTGATGTAGGCAAGCGTCCCAAACACCTTCTCCACTGCCCTGTCTACCTGTGACACCACTTTCAACAAACCATATACTTATACTCCTAGGGTTCTCTGTTCGACAACACTATCCAGGGCCCTACCATTAACTGTGTAAGTCCTGCCTTGGTTTATCTTATCAAAATGCAATACCTCACATTTATCTAAATTAAACTCTATTTGCCACTCCTCAGTCCATTGGACCAATTGATCAACATCCCTTTGTAATCTCAGATAACCTTCTTGGTTGGGCGTGTGGAATGCGCTGCTGGTAGTGGTAGCGGAGTCAGATACTTTAGAGACTTTTAAGCAACTCTTGGATAGGCACATGGAGGATAGTAAAATGTAGGGTATGCAGGGTAGTTTGATCTGAGTAGGATAATAGGTCGGCACAACATTGTGAGCTGAAGGGCCTGTATTGTGCTCTACTGCTGTATGTTCTATGTTCTTCAATGTCCAAAATACCACCAATTATGGTGTCATCCGCAAACTTATTAACCATGCCTCCTATATTCTCATTCAAACTGATGGACAACAGTGGACCCAACATTGATCCTTGTGGTACACCACTGGTCACAGGCATCCAATCTGAACAGCAACCATCTACCACCACCCTATGTCTCCAAATGTAGAACCAATTTTGTAACCAACTGGCTAGCTCTGTCTGGATTCCATGTGATATAACCTCACTAACTAGTCTACAATACAGAACCTCATTGAAGGCCTTGCTAAAGTCCATGCAGACAACGTCCACTACACTGCCTTCATCTATCTCCTTGGTCACATCCTCAAAAACCTCATTCAAGTTTGTGAGACACGATTTCCCACATATAACGCCACACTGACTATCCCTAATCAGGCCTTGCCTTTCCAAATATATGTAAATCCTGTCTCTCAGAATCCCCTTCAACAACTCACCCAGCCCTGATCTCAGACTCATCGATCTTTAGTTCCTTGACTTTTCCTTGCATAAATTTCTTTTTTGAATAATGCCACACATTAGCCACCATCTAGTCTTCTGGCACCTCACCCATGGCTATCAATGATACAAATATCTCTGATAGTTGCCCCACAATTTCGTCCCTAGCTTCACATAATGTCCTGTGATTCATTGATTAGGTCCTGGGGATTTGTCTACCTTTATGTTTTTTTAAGACCTCCAGCACCTCCTCTTCTATAATTCTGTCATAGCTATAATATCCTAGTCCCATGTTCCCATCCATGCCCTGAATTCATCTGCCTTACCTATCAGGCCTCTTGCAATGAAATAACTGCAGTTTAATTTTTAAGGCTTCCCTCATTCTCTGCTGTGATCTTGTCTGCCATGTCTATTTAACTTCTGTACCAGCTTCAACCTTCTCTCTTGTCTCACTACTGCTTATGGTCCAACCCCCTGCCAGTCTGGTTAAAACCCTCCTGAGTAGCTCTAACAAATCCTTCCATCAGGACATTGGACCCTGCCAATTCAAGTGCAACCCATCCCTCTTGTACAGGCCACTTCTGCCCCAGAAGAGATCCTAATGACCCAAAAATCTGAAACCCTTCCTCGTGCTTCATCTCAGTTCGAAAGGGTGTCTCTTCATTCTGAGGCTGCACCCTCGGGTCCTAGCCTCTCTTACTAGTGGAAACATCTTCTCCACGCCCACTCTATCCAGGCCTCTCAGTATTCTGTAAGTTTCAATCGGTTTCTAAACTCCATCGAGTACAGACCCAGAGTCCTCAACCGCTCCTCATATGACAAGCCCTTCATCCTCAGGATCATTCTTGTAAACCTCCCCTGGACCCCCTCCAAAACTAACACATCCTTCCTTAGATACAGGGTCCAAACCTGCTCACAATATTCCAAATTCAGTCAGACCAGACCAGGGATTTGCTCTAGGAGTCCTCAACATTGAGTCCGGACCCCATGAAGTCTCATGGCTTTAGATTAAACATGGGCAATGAAACTTCCTGCTGATTACCACATACCATCCTCCTTCAGCTGATGAGTCAGTATTCCTCCATGTTAAACAACATTTAAAGGAAACACTGAAGATGGCAAGGGCACAAAATGTACTGTGGGTGGGGGATTTCAATGCCCACCACCAAGAGTGACTCAGCAGCAGTATTACTGATCGAGCTGGTCAGGTTCTAAAGGACACAGCTGCTAGACTGGGTCTGCGGCAGGTGGTGAAGGAACCAACAAGAGGGAAAAACATACTTGACCTTATCCTTACCAATCTGCCAGCTGCAGATGCATCTGGCCATGACAGTATCGGTAAGATATAACAGTACTCTGAGCAACGAAATGTCTGATTTTAGTCCAAAATATTCGCCCTCTTACCCTAAACCTCTGACTGACTGTTATAATTTCACAGCTGTATGTTTTATCGTTCACTGGGTTTTCCTCAGCACTCAGCTCTTAGAACCTGACACAAGCTTCTCGTTATTTCCCTGTTCTACTCTGTGCTCTTTGACATCCTGGAGTTCTGGATTTGAGCTTTGCAGCCTTCTCTTTGTTGGAACATGTTTGTTCTGAAGCCTCTCTATGAGCCTCTTCACTACCACCCACTGCTCTGACACAGATTCACCTTCTAATGGCTGTTGTCAGGCCATTTTTACCAAATCAGATTTCCATTTAATAAAATTGGCCCTTTCCTACTTCAAAAACGTTACTCCTGTCTGTCTTTGTGCTTCTCCATAACTACACTCAATCTCAAAATTTGATCTCCCAATGCTCCAGCATCCACTTGTCCCTATTCATTCCCAAAAACTAAGCTCCAAACTGCTCTAACATTGCAGAAAAAGTTTCTTACTCTGAAACTCCAACCCGTTTACAATAACCTATCATTTCCTACATTCTACCAGCTCGGAATTGTTCATTTATTCACTCTTTTGGTTTACTGCCCTCAAATGAATGGTTAATTCCTGCTCTTATCTAGTCTTCTATTCAATTAACCCCAATCTTGGGTAGCATCTTGTCAAACACATGAATCATAGCCTATTACACATAGCATTCAGAAGGATAATCAACATCTCAGATAAACCCACTCTTCAGATTTCAATGTAATGTCAGCTTTGACCTGCACAGGTAGCTGGAACTATGACTGGGAGCAGGAGAAGATCAGAAAATAATTTGTCGCCTCCATGTAGCTTTGAAAGAAAAGTTAATTATCAAACAAAAAGGCAAAAGCCGTTAAAGGTGTCGCAACAATTATTGCTGTGGACTTACACTTGTCTCAGCAGGTACCCCAGGACCAAAATCCACCCCAGTAGATGTGGTCTTTGGGTCTTTATCTTCATACTCTGTGATTTCATAATAATATTCATCCTCGTAACGCTTCGTATCATATTCACTGGGGTCATATTCCTCAACATCGTAAGCTTTGAATTCATGGTCATTATCACTGGTTCCTTTGCTGGAAGAAGCTTTGGCACTGTGCCCAGTGGGGTCATGCTCAGTGGGATCATGCCCAGTGGGGTCATGCCCAGTGGGATCATGTCCAGTGGGATCTTGCCCAGTGGGATCTTGCCCAGTGGGATCTTGCCCAGTGGGATCATGCTCTTTCTCATCATATTCCTTGTCGTCATATTCATTGAGATCGTACATTTTGAAATCATACTCATTGAAGTCATACTCGTTGAGATCCTGTTCCTTTTCCTCAGTCTCTTGCTTTTCAAAATGATAACCCTCTCCAGTCAGATATTCATCTTTATAGTCTTCTTCAATGTTTGTCTTATTGTTGTCCGATTGAAGTTCAGAGTGTTTGGGAAATGAGAATGAAATGAGCATTGTGTTAGCAAGGCTGAAAGCTGAATCATACAGTACACTGCATTGCAAAGTAGCCCAGGAGATGGTCAAGGTCACACTCAGTGATTCTTGAGTGAATTGGGATAATCATGTCCCAAAGGAGAGCTGAATGGATCACTATGTTTACTGCATTGGGAAGTAGGCTTATTATTTTGAAAAGAACATTTGAAAGAACTGTATGCACAAGTTAGGGTTATATAAACTAAAAAGCAATTACTCATTATTACAGCTTGAAATGAACAAGGAAATGAAGAGGACATTTCCTCTGATATTACCACCTCTGGGAAATCTTTGCAAGCAATTCTCAGCGTAGAGATAGTGACTGCATCAGAATGTTTAACATGACTTTGCTTTGTTTCATTTCAGTTATTATGGAAGGTTCAAAGACTCAAAATTTTAAAAGTCATTGGATGGAGTTTGGTAAACGCTCTTGACCACTTGGCATCCTGTTTAATCATGGGGACTGTGACTACAGGCTTTCTGGAATTCTGGGAACAATCTAAGAGCTTGAACAAAGAGTGACGTAGGATCTTAAGGAGCGACATAACTCAGTTTGAATTTTGATCAGCTGGTGGTTTTGTGCATAGGGTGAGCTGTAGAGGGAGTGGGAGGGAATTTGTGTGGAGCAGAAGGCCCAGCACAGAGCAGTTGAGCTGAATGGCCCATTTCCATGCTGGAAATATTTTGTAACTCTATTAATGAGCAGGACAGAATTAAACTCCAGAGAAACCCAAAACCATGTTAGAAAAAAACCCAAAGAACTGCAGATGTTGGAAATCAGAAACAAAAACAGAAATTGCTGGGAAAACTTAGAACAGAAGAAGGGTCACTGGACCCGAAACATTAATTCAGCTTTCACTCCAGATGCTGTCAGACCTGCTGAGTTTTCCCAACAATTTCTGTTTTTGTTTCTAAAACCATGCAGTTTGATACAATCGGGTCAAATCTCATTGAGACCTCCTCCATTACCAGGGAGTAACTCAGTATATGTCCAAGCTTTGCCAGTGTTGTGGTGGTCCTGACATTAATGGGATTGTTCATGTTGTAATGACAGTGCCAGTGTGAACAGACTGCATCTCCCATTGTGCTGTTGTTGCTGGGTGAGTCTGCAACAGAGGACATTAGCATGGAACCAGGCCATTCAGGGGCCTGTCCGAAAGCATTTCCTCACACAGAGTGCAGTGAATCTGAAACTCTCTCCCCAGGAAGGGCACAGATTCTGGGGTCACATGAACGTAGAGGTCAATGGATTCTGATTTGTCAAAGGCTTTAACTAAGCAAGTCAAGAGGATCAACTAGGGGCATAATTTTAAACTGAAATGCAGGAGGATTAGAGAGGATTTGAAGGAAGGTTTTTCCACCCAGAGGGTGGTGGGGGTCTGTAATGAACTGCCTGGGAGGGGAGTTGAGGCAGGAAACCTCACAACCTTTAAAAATTACTCGGATGAGCACTTGAAATAACCTGCAAAGCTACGCACTAAACGCAAAGTTGCTGAGTGGTTAACACTGCTGCCTCACAGCGTCGGGGACCCAGGCTTGATTCCAGCCTCAAGCGACTATCTGTGTGGAGTTTGCACGTTCTCCCTGTGTCTGCGTGGGTTTGTTCTGGTTTCCTCTCACGGTCCAAAGATGTGCAGGTTAGGGTGGATTGGCCGCATGAAATATAGGGATAGGGATAGGGTGAGGGGATGGGTCTGGACTGAATGCTCTTTGGAGGGTTGATGTGGATTTGACGGGCCGAATGGCCTGCTTCCCCACCATAGGGATCCTATGAAAGTGAGAGAAGAGGAGTTTTACTGAAGCTTTGATGGGACAGACTAGATGGGCTGAAGGTCATCTTCTGTACTGTGTGATTCAATTATTCCATAATGTCACGTGGATAAGGTTAAAACACAGGTCAGTTACGGTCAAGTTAAATGCCAGAAAAGGGTCACAGAGCTCAGATAACTTCCTGTTGTTCCAAACATCTCAGCAGGAAATGGTTCAAATCATTCAGACAACGGAGCTCAACAGACCCCAGTGGAAGATGTACTGAATCAAACAAAGTCAAATCAATGTTCAAACTTTTATCCTGAAGCATTATCTCTTGCTTTGATTCACATTTATCGTCATGTTAAATAGAATCAGCAATTTCTGGAGAAAGCAGAAGCAAAATGAATGGATTTACCTCAAACAAATTGACCAATTTGTAATTCACCAAATCCAATACAAACAGCATTTTCTCAAAGACTTTGTAAAAATGCAGAAAATTCATGATGTTATTGGCAAAAGAAACTAAAATGCTGAAGAAATATTCAGGTTGACAGCAGTCACTTCCAGATGTGCCTCTCATACTGAGTAGTTCAACAACTCACAGTATTCCTTCCTGAGAGAGATTGGGGCACAGTCCAATAGCGCAGCCTTTCATTCGACCACTTACAATCTCCATGACACTCTATGGAGGTCGACATTACATCTGAGAGTCTTTCTGTGTACTTTGGAACCCTCACAAGCCTGGACATCGATCTCTCAGGCCAGAAAAAGACATCAAGGTTAATGTAAATCTGTTAAAGTTGTACATGGGACGGACTGAGGGAATTCTGACAATACACAAATCAGGAGTAAAATTCTTTGAAAACCACAATCCTTACAGTTTCTTTTTACCTCGTTAGCTTTCTCTTGGGCTGCTGAGCTGGTCGTTCCTTCATAAGTTTCGTAGTAATATTCCTCTCCTGTCTCCTCTGGCAGCACATTGTTCACAACCTGAGTTCAAAGCAAAATAATGAGACAAAACAAAATAAGATTTAATTCATGAAACAGTTGAATTAAGTCTCAGATTGGCCGTAGAGCCAGGGAGGATTAGACATGATTGGGGAATGACGAGGGAGGGTTTTTTAGGGAGGTGAACGGGTGGTTTCAAGGATCATTCAGGTCATCAGAGATCTTCCAATCTTGACTCCTCGGAAGATCTTGATCAGTTTTTGCTACATTTGGCCCAACCTGAAGTTTTGATGATTGGTGGCTGGAAAAGTGCTGCTTCCTCTTCTGAGTTGTAAAAGTTTTTTTGGAAGTAATCTTTGTCGCCATGTTCTTAGTTATAGTTTGTCCAACATCCTTCTTCTGTTTGATGAATGAAATGGATTTCTTTCTCTGAAAAATGTGGTGAGAGATGGAATGGAAAAAAGCATAAATAATGATGACCCGAAAACGGGGAAACATGAGACTCTCAGGCCAAGGGTCCGCTTCAAAATCCTTCCCGTTTCCAGCTGCTTCCAAAAAAATTGATGATTTGTAAAGGTGGGGGGGATTGAGGGAAAGGCCAGAGGGATGGGAAGAGAGGAAGGGAAGGGAAGGGTCTGGGGATGGATGTGAGGGAAGTATAGAGGGAGAAAGGGATTATGGGACAGGGTGGGCAGCAGTGAGTGAGGAAAATGAGGATAGGAGTTGCTATGGAGAGAGAATGAATGATAGCTCTGATGAGGATGACAAGAGAATGACAGACAGGATGAGATACAGTCGAAGACTGGGTGGACAAAGATAACAGACCATGCTGACATTTGGAGGCTAGTCTCCTGGTTACCTCAGTTGGGAATTCTGTCTGCTCCAATGTTGGCATTTCCTCAGTTGGATGATAGTCAAACTCTATAAAGTCTCCATCACTATAATCATAGTCATATTTGAATATTTCTTCCGCAGAGTGCTGTATCATGAAGGGAAATACAATCACAGTTATGTTAGTTGCAATCCAAGGGAGACTTGGCCAAGCAGAAGCACATTGAAGGAAATGAAAAGATGTTCAGATAAATGAGGAAAACCTTGACACTGTGCATGATATACAGTGGGTGCTGACCAATCAGCAGCTAGTTTTACATTGACAGCAAGTGCCAAGATCCCCCTTATGCATGTTTTCATTCAGTTGCCAATGTTCACAACTTCCAACGAGCTGTTTCTGAAAGAGGAGAGCTTCAGGACTGGAAGATCCCATTTGTTTTCTATCTCATGCTGTGGCTCTGCAGAGCTGAGTCTTAATGGGCAGTTTATTAGTAACTTTCCAAAAGGAATGGGGAAAATGAAGAAGTAAACATTACATGTTTACAGGAAAAGGTTAAGGGAATGGGATTAATTGGATAGCTCTATGAGAAAGCAGGCATGACATGATGGAGTGGCCTTGTGTGCTGTAAGATGTTGTGCTTTTTTTCAACTTTGCCAGTTCACTCTCTGTTAGAGCAGTGTCAGCATTAACAGATCACTTGTGGCAATGTGTCCAAAGCAGTGGGAACAATTCTGGTCTTAAGGGGAAAGTGAGTAACACAGCAACATCAGAAAGAAGAATAGACCATTCGGCCCTTTGAACTTCTCTGCTGCTCACCAGGATAATGGATGACCATGCCATTCCACACCTAATTCATTCCCAGTTTTCCTGAAGTGAAAATCCCCAGGTTTAAGTAGAGTTACTGATGGACCCTCCACAACTCTGGAAGGGAGAGAATTCCACAGATTATCTCCTGACCCTGGGATTCTGATCCTGTGTTCTAGATTCTCCAGAGTTGGGGGGGGGTGGCTGAATTTCTCAATGTCAACCTTATCAAACCCCTTTCGTATCCTGGATGTTTCAATGGCATCCCCACTCATTCCACTAAACCCCAGAGAACATAGAACATACGTCACGGGAACAGGCCCTTCGGCCCACCTTGTCTGTGCTGGCCACGATGCCATTCTAAACTAATCCCATCAGCCTGGACATGGCTCACATCCATCTGCTCCCTACCTGTTCATGTATCTGTCTAAATGCCTCTTAAACATTGCTGTTGTATCTGCTTCTACCACCTCCCATGGCAGCTCAATCCAGGCACCTACCACCCTCTGTGCCTTTCACATGTCTCCTTTAAACTTTCCACTCTCAACCTCTCAACCTATGCCCCCTAGTATTTGACATTTCCTCCCTGGGAAAAAGACACTGACTATTCACCCTATCCATGCCTCTCATAATTTTATAAACTTCTGTCAGGTCACCCCCTCAGCCTCCGACTCTCTAGTGAAAACAATCCGAGTTTGTCCAACCTCTCCTTATAGCTAATACCCTCCAATCCAGGCAACATCCTGGTAAACCTCTTCTGCACCCTCTCCAAAGCCTCCACATTCCTCCGATAGTGTGGTGACTAGATCTGCACACAATACTCCAAATGTGGCCTCACTAAAGTCTTACACAGCTGCAACATGACTTACCAACTTCTATACTCAATGCCCCGACCGATGAAGACAAGCATGCCGTATGCCTTTTTTACCACCTTATCAACTTGCTTTGCCACTTTCAGGGAGCTATGGACTTGCACCCCAAGATCCCTCTGTATAACAATGTTGTTCAGGGTCCTGCCATTTACTGTACACTTTCCTCTTGCATGTGATCTCTAAATGTGCATCACCTCACACCTGTCTGGATTAAACTCCATCTGCCATTTCTCCACCCAACTTTCCAACTGATCTATAACCTGCTGTATCCTTTGAGTACCTTCCTCATAATCCACAACTGCACCAATTTTCCTGCTTTCTGCAAACTTACTAATCAGACCGCCTACATTTTCATCTAAATCATTTATATAAATTATAAACATCAGAGGTCCTAGCATTGATCATTGCAGAACATCTCTGGTCACAGACCTCCAGTCAGAAAAGCATCTCCAGCCAAGAAGCATTTATCAAGGCTAGGAGGCTGGGAACACACGAAGCAAGGGTGGGATACAAGGAAAGCTGAAAGAACTTAAGAAAGGAGTCAGAAGGGCTAAAAGGAGTCATGAAAAGTCATTGGCTAACAGGATTAAGGAAAATCCCAAGGCTTTTTATACATATATAAAGAGTTAGAGGGTAGGCAGGCAGAGGGTTGGCCCACTCAAGGACAGGGAAGGGAATTTATGTGTAAAGCCAGAGGAAATGGGTGAGGTATTAAATGAGTACTTTGCATCAGTATTCACCACAGAGAAGGACTTGGTGGATGATGAGGCTGGGAAAGGGTGTGTAGATAGTTTGGGTCATGTTGGGATCAAAAGGGACAATGTATTCGGGGTCTTGAAAAACATTAAGGTAGACAAGTCCCCAGGGCCTGATGGGATACATCCCAGAATACTGAGAGAGGCAAGGGAGGAAATTGCTGGGGCCTTGAGAGAAATCTTTGTATCCACATTGGCTACAGGGGAGGTCCCAGAGGATTGGAGAATAGCCAATGTTATTCCTTTGTTTAAGAAGGGTGGCAAGGATTATCCAACTAATTACAGGCCGGTGAGCCTTACGTCAGTGGTAGGGAAATTATTGGAGAGGATTCTTTGAGACAGGATTTACTCCCACCTGGAAATCAGTGGGCGTATTAGCGAGAGGCAACATGGTTTTGTGAAGGGGAGGTCGTGTCTCACTAACTTGGTTAAGTTTTTTGAGGAAGTGACAAAGATGATCGATGAGGGTAGGGCAGTGGATGTTGTCTACATGGACTTCAGTAAGGCCTTTGACAAGGTCCCTCATGGCAGGCTGACACAGAAGGTAAAGTCACATGGGTCAGAGGTGAGCTTGCAAGATGGATAAAAAACTGGCTTGGTCATAGACAGAGGGTAGCAGTGGAAGGGTGTGTTTCTGAATGGAGGGCTGTGACTAGAGGCGTTCCTCAGGGATCAGTGTTGGGACCTTTTCCGTTTGTAATATATGTAAATGATTTGGAGGAGAATGTAACTGGTCTGATTAGTAAGTTTGCTGATGACACAAAGGTTGGTGGAATTGCAGATAGCGATGAGGATTGTCAGAGGATACAGCTGGATATCGATCAGTTGGTGACTTGGGCAGAGACATGACAGATGGAGTTTAATCCAGAAAAATGTGAGGTAATGAATTTTTGCAGGTCCAATCCAGATGGAAAATATACAGTAAATGGCAGAACCCTTAAGAGTACTGATAGGCAGAGGGATCTGGGTGTACAGGTACACAGGTCACTGAAAGTGGCAAAGTAGGTGAAAAAGGTAGTCAACAAGGCATATGGCATGCTTACTTTCATTGGCCGGGGCACTGAGTTTAAAAATTGGCAGGTAATGTTGCAGCTTTATGGAACCTTAGTGAGACCGCATTTGGAATATTGTGTTCAATTCTGGTCGCCACATGACCAGATGGATGTGGTGGCTTTGGAGAGGGTACAGAAAAGATTTACCAGGATGTTGCCTGGCATGGAAGGCATTAGCTATGAGGAGAGGTTGAAGAAACTTGGGTTGTTCTCACTGGAATGATGGAGATTGAGGGGCGACCTGATAGAGGTCTACAAGATTATGAAGGGCATGGACAGAGTGGACAGTCAGAAGCTTTTTCCCAGGGTGGGAGAGTCAGTTACCAGGGGCCATGGGTTTAAGGTGTGAGGGGCAAGGTTTAAAGGTGATGTACGAGGCAAGTTTTTTACACAGAGGGTGGTGGGTGCCTGGAACTCACTGCCGGGGGAGGTAGTGGAAGCAGATATGATAATGACTTTTAAAGGGCGTCTTGACAAATACATGAATAGGATGGGAATAGAGGGATACGGTCCCCGGAAGGGTAGGGGGTTTTAGTTATGACAGGCAGCATGTCAGTGCAGGCTTGGAGGGCCGAAGGGCCAGTTCATGTGCTGTAATTTTCTTTGTTCTTTGTACTTTGTTCTCTCCACATCTACACTCTGTCCTCTATGACCAAGCTAATTTTGTATCTAACTGACCAACTCCCCATGGATCCCATGTGACTCAATCTTCTGGACCAGGCAACCATGAGGGTCCTTGTTAGTTGCTTCAGTAAAATCCATGTAGACAACATCCAATGCCCTACCCTCATCAATCATCTTCGTCACTTCTTCAAAAAAACTCAATCAGATTTGTGAGACAAGACCTCCTCCCCCCACACAGCCCTACTGACTGTCCCTAATAAGTCCATTCTTTTCCAAATATGAGTAAATCCTATCCTGTCTCCAGTAATTTCCCTATCACGGATGTAAGGTTTACCTGTCTATAATTTCCTGGATTATCCCTGTTGTCCTTCTAAAACAAAGAAACAAAATTGTCTATTCTCCAGTCTTCTGGGACCTTACCTGTGGCTAAAGATGACACAAGGATCTCTGTCAAAGCCTCAGCAATCTACTCTCTTGCCTCCTTTGCGAACTATACAGTGAATGGAAAAGCCCTGGGGAAAATTGATGCACAGAGAGATCTGGGTGTTCAGGTCCATTGTACCCTGAAAGTGGCAATGCAGGTCGATAGAGTGGTCAGGAAGGCATACGGCATGCTTTCATTCATCGGACGGGGTATTGAGTACAAGAGTTGGCAGGTCATGTTACAGTTGTATAGGACTTTGGTTCGACCACATTTGGAATACTGCGTACAGTTCTGGTTGCCACATTACCAAAAGGATGTGGATGCTTTGGAGAGGGTGCAGAGGAGGTTCACCAGGATGTTGCCTGGTATGGAGGGCGCTAGCTATGAAGAGAGTTTGAGTAGTTTAGGATTGTTTACATTAGAAAGACGGAGGTTGAGGGGGGACCTGATTGAGGTCTACAAAATCATGAGAGATATAGACAGGGTGGATAGCAAGAAGCTTTTTCCCAGAGTGGGGGACTCAATTACTAGGGTCATGATTTCAAGGTGAGAGGGGAAAAGTTGAAGGGAGATATGCGTGGAAAGTTCTTTACGCAGAGGGTGGTGGGTGCCTGGA